ATCTTGGCATATCATGCTTCATGATTGCTATAGCCAATTTGGGATGAATGATAAGCTTCATATTGAATCCTATTTATAAACACACAAATGTTCATTGTGTTGAATTGCCTTGGTTAACCAATTCTCTCCAATATTTGAGCATCTCACCATCTTGCTTAATTGCAAGCCTTTTAGTTATTCAAGTCTTTTAGTTTTCAAGCAATAACAACACCCCTCCTTTTTAGGCGTACATGAATTACACTGGGCGTAATTACATAGGGTGCAAACCCTAATTTTTAGTGTTTGATCCCTATTTAAGCAACTTAACTTATGGAAACTCTCTCCATATTCAGCCTCCATCTTCTCCAAAGCATCGTCTCGAAACCCTAGCCCCATTAGTGAAGAGTTTGAGCCTCTTGAGTGTTTATGAGTGTTTTTGGTACATCTTGAAGAGTAAGAAGTCCGCCATTGAAGCTTGGTGAACCTCAAGCTCTTGGATCTTGAACTCATTCGTCATTCCTCAACCTCAGAAGGTATAAAGTTTGAATCTTTATCACTCATTTAACTAGATCTAGAATTGGCTCATGTTTTGGTTATGTCTTGGTCCCATGGCTTGAATCTTGTGAGTAGAAGTTACTCAAGAACCTTCGAGCATCACTCCTCACTACTAGTTTACAGCCCTTTAATGACACGTAAACAATGACACGCACTGATTTACGATATGCATTTTTTGCGTGTCCTAAAAATAATGTCAGTTTTCCAAAATTTGAAGGATATAGGACACGAATTTGTGCATGCCCTAAAATTAGTGTCAGAAAAGAAAAAAAAGAAACACGGAAGGCGCTATCATAAAATGTGTGTCATGTAAGTGTGTCAGTTTATAACTTTTTAATGAAACATACGTTTTAAGGGGGAAATAAAATCCCCAAAAATTAACCCCTGCCTATTTGATCCTAAAAATTAAAACCCCCGCCTCTTCGAATTAGCAAAAAAAAACCCTAGGTCCTTCATCTTCATCCGTACCTTCCTCAATTCCCAGATCCATCACCTCCATCAAAAACCTAATCATCGGTTCCAACAAGTTCTTACAATCTTAATCAAAATCAGTATATACCTGGAGTTGGTGATTTCATTGGAGTATCTTCACGGATTTGGGATCATTTACATAGACTTAACGCTAGAAAATGTAATGAGTCAGGAAAACGGACATCTAATGCTTGTCGATTTCGATCTATCAACCAAATTATCACCTAAACCTTTGTGCGAAGCTCGATCAGCAAAACCACGTCGTCGTTGTCACCGACGACATCTTAGTCATCAACGAAGAACAAAAACTAATTTTCATTTTTTCCAATTGTTGTCGTCCGGCCATTCTGGTGGAGGACTAGGTACATCCTACCGCCGAGTCAGTCGACAACTTACTCTCAGACCCAAATTGAAAGCCTCATCACTCCTTCTCAAAATCAAACTCCTTCATTGGAACGGAAGAGTAAGTTGCGCCTGAAATGCTACAAGGCAACTACCATGATTTCTTGGTGGACTGGTGGTGTTTAGGCATCGTTTTTTATATTAATACAAGTTTACCAGTTCCCTAAGTTGTAAAATTTATATAAATTTACTCAGGGAAAAGCTGTGATTACTTTTCTTGATGCAATTTTGGACAAAATACTTCGTAGCACTGTGGTTTACTTGCTGGTAGAGGTCGTGCAAAGTCAGCTGCACTTGGTCTTGCAATTGTAGGAGCTGTTGCTACAGGGTATATGACACTCCTTTGACTTTTGTTGACTTCGTGAATCTAATTAACACATGATTTTTCAGGTATTCAAATATATTTGTGACTGCTCCTAGCCCAGAAAATCTCAAAACTTTATTTGAATTTGTATCAATGGGATTCAGTATGCTTGAGTACAAGGTAAAACTTGTTTCCATTTCTTATTGTATGCATTTTTATATAAATATGATGATATATTACGTTATGTACATGTTTTATAGGAGCATTTGGATTATTATATTGTGAAAAGCTCAAATCCAGAGTTTAAAAAAGCGACCATCAGAATAAATATCTACAAACAACACAGACAAGTTACCTCCACCTAGTGAGTGTGATCTTCTGGTATAATAATAATCCATCAAGATGATTAAATGAACATCTAATTTAGTTTTCTTCAAGAAAATGATTTGATTTATTACAATGGAATGCAGGACGGCTTTTTAGGAAGATTGATTTAAGTGAAGCTATTAAATATGCAAATGGTGATTCAATCGAATCATGGCTTAACAATTTACTTTGTTTTCGATATTGCAAATTCTATTCCTAGTATCAACATGTTACCTCCTCCTATTTCTTCAGGTGTTTATTATGTTGTTATCGATTGATTATTGTTTTTAGTTAATTTATTCACATATATAATATTTGTGCTTATTTTATGGTTCTAAGAGTTTTTGTATGCAGGTCCTGTTAACGAGTCAAGAAATCAGCTCCCAGATATACTTTGTGTCATCCAGGTTTGCTTTTTTTGTTTTTTTTAGTTTTTTTAATATTTATATGGTTAATTATTAAATGATTCTTGTCTTATCTGTTACTTGCAGCTTGGATATGGTTCAACTGCCATAGAATTGCTGTCAATGTACTTACTTTTAATCAACATGTTTATATTTTGGTATTTCCATATATACCCGTTTGATCACATAGTAGTTAATTATAGTAAGTTCTTATAATAGGTACTTTGAAGGTCAATTCACTTCCATATCTGAAGAAGATGATGTCCAAAACAAACCAGAGTCTTCACATCTCATAATCACTAAAGCTACTGAGAAAGTAAGATAGATCTCCTTTCTTATTAGTGAAACTTTTTTTAATTGGAATTGGATAAAACTTTTTCTGAAATTTGTAACTGCCACTGGTCATTGCTTAAAGAAAATATTGCTCATCGCCAGATCAATGCATTGCAAAATTCTTCAATCTTTTTATAATTTTATAAAAACTCTATTTTTAGGTTATATAAACAGAGGAATTCTAATCGTGTTTTTTTATAGACTTGGTGGTGTTGTCATAAACATTCTGCATACTATAAAAGGCTAAAGAAAGGATCTTTAGTTACTCAATGTAGATGGAGGGGAAGGATTGCTAGGAGAGAGCTACGAAAATTTAAAATAGTCAGTTATTTATTTATTTCTTTGAAATCATATTCATGATGTTACTTTCTTTTTTGGGAAAATTCAAAGTTGCTAGCTTTATCTATTTTGCAGGCTGCACAAGAAACAGGTGCACTTAACGAAGAAAAAGATAAGCTTGAGAAACAATTGGAGGAACTAGGATGGCGTTTACAACTTGAGAAACGTTTAAGGGTAATTTAGTCAATTATGTTGAAATATTACAACTTTTGTTGGAAAAGTTTTTAATATGATATGTCCTACGTGTCCAGACTGATTTGGAAGAAGAAAAAGCACAAGAGGCGCTGAAATTTCAGAATTCTCTAGAAGCTATGCAAAAGAAACTTGATGAAGTAAATGCATTGGCTGTAATGGAAAGAGAGGCAGCTAAAAAAACTATTGATGAAGCGACTGCGGTTGTTGAAGAAAAAGAGATTGTTATTGAAGATACTAAGAAAATTGAATCTTTGACTGCTGAGGTGGATGAGTAGAAGGTAATACTTATCATACAGACGGAGTTTTTTTTTTTTGGTGTGTGGGGACCATATTAACTAGTTTTTTTTTGGGCATGTAGGCATCACTTCCGTTTAAGTTTGTAACTCTCTCTAATTAATCTTTAAACTTGTTTTTAATATTTCTTTCGTACATATTGAATCATCTTTTCTTACATGTATGGTTCTAAAACCGTTGGCAAACGATGAGATTGAAGTTAACGAATCATATGATGAATGGGGATTCTTTGGTGATTATTATAGAGCTTTTAAGGCACCATTTGCTAGGCTTTTATGTTCTCTAATATTTAATACAATGGAATATAAGCTTGCAATGAGGTACACACTACAATACATCTTCCATATTGAATTTCAATGATATATAATACTAAATAAATACTTTTCCTTTTGTATGTAGTATCTTGGATCCAAAACTCAACTTATCGGATGCAGACCATTCATCAACAACAATTTCACATGGGATATATGATGACATCATCAAATCTTCAACCAAGAGAAGTTTCCAGTTACATTATCATATGTTCAAGCTTCTATGTTACTTTACAAACAATATTTTTGTTAACAATGAAATGTTAGGTAGCGCATCATCTTCTGACATGTGGTGTACTGTGTTTTTTGTTAACTGTGTGAATGTTAGGTATCATCCTCTTTTGAGATGTAGTGTAATATAATGTTTTTGTAACATCTGGAATCCCATGTATATTAATTATGTTTTTATTTTGAGATTTATTGGCCGACTCGACGAGTTGTGAGTCTTACTCGTCGAGTAGAGTCGCGGATGGCTACGTGGGATTAGTGGTCTACTCGATGAGTCCAAGAGTCGACTCGCCGAGTAGACGCTGAGTGGTAAAACCCTAAATCCCCGGGTCTTGGGGACTATTTAAGGGCACTTATAGCCTCCTTCCATTCTCACCAGCAACCTTTCACCCTTGATAGAAACCCTAACGTCCATTTGAGCTAGAGAGTGTGAAAAGAGCTAATTTTGTGGTCCTTGGGTACATTTCTTTTGAAGAGGAGGGAAGGATTCATCAAGGAACAAGAAGGGGGCCAGTGGATCAGTGTTATTATGTCCAAAAGCTTCTAGAGAAGGTAAAAAGTTCTCACCTTTCTCCTTGTGGTGATTAGATCTCATGTTTATGATGATTAGGGCTTTCTACCACCTTTTGTTGAGATATGAGTACATGGAGTCCATTTCTAGGTTTAGACTTCAGATCTGGACCTTGGGAGGTCCAGATGGTCCAAAGGCTATAGCTTTATTCAGTCTCTTAAGGAGTGGTTGTGTTCTAGGACCCTTATTAGAGTTGTATTGGAATTTAGAGCAATATATGACATGTATGGTCATCAAGATCAAAGCTTTACATGACTTTTGGGCCTTAAGGGACTAGATCTAGAGTTTGGAGTAGTGGATCTGCGTTAAAACGTCTGAATGAGAAAATATATTGAAGGAACTCGTCGAGTCCATGAACTGACTCGACGAGTCGGTTAGGATTATTCCCGATGAGTTTGATCATGCGATAACTCGGCAAGTTGGGGGTTAACTCGACGAGCTGAGCTGGACTTTCTTGAGACTTCTGAGGAAAAGAGGGGACTCGACGCGTTGCATGAGTGCACTCGACGAGTCGGGTCAAACAAGGATTGTTGACTCGAGTTTGACTTCTAGTTGGTCAAACCTGAGTAATGGAGACCATTGAAGGGTAAAATGGTCTTTTACCCACTTCCAGAGTTAGAGAGAGAAAGAGTAACCTTTGGTTTATCTAGAGTTGAGAATCGAGTATTAATTAGAGAATATTTACCCTATGTATTAGGCGGTGGCTAGTTCGAGATTCGAGTGCAGGGATAATTGCATGCATGCCTCGAGGTGAGTCTTCTCACTATACTTTACAATGAGTGGTATTTGTGTGTGACTGAGATGTCTTATGTGCTTATCTGTGTATTGTGATATCCTGCATTATTTCTTTATGATTTATGTTGTGTATTACTCAAAGCTTACAGAGTTAGGACCGGAGGGTCCATCAGAGTTGTGGGACTGGAGGGTCCCACTAAGACACATTGACCAGAGGGTCTTATAGAGTTATAGCCTCGAGTGGCTAATATGTTGTATATGGTATTTTGGGGAACTCACTAAGCTTCGTGCTTACCGGGTTATGTGTTATGTGTTTCAGGTTCTTATCAGGATCGCGGGAAGGCGTCGGCTCGATTGTACACACATATGAGTAGAGATATATTTTTGGAGGATCCTGGATTTGTGATAAACAACTTTTGAAATATGTTGATAAATTGATACTTGTGATTTTTGAGAAAATGTGACATGTGTTTTATTGTGTTTTTAAATGAAAATTTTATGTGAAAATTTACGGTGTTACAAGTTGGTATCAGAGCCTTGGTTTGAGGGATTCGGATACACCTTTGGGTATGTCTGGACTCAAACTGAGGATTTGAGAAAGATTTTCAAAAGAGATAATTTTTTCTAAAATGAGAAAGAGTTTAAGAGAAAACGAGTTGGAGCAGTGTGTACAATCAGCCAGAGCCCGAACGGTGATTTCCCAAAATGCCCTTACTTTTGCGCTATGAGATATTTATGAGATGTTTTATGAGATATTATGCATCGTAGAGATAGGCTAGGTATTTCATATTTTAGGACTAGATTTGCCTGATTTGTGATGCCCTAGCCTAGGAGTTGCTGCTATCTGTGATGTGCTTTTGAGTATGTGCTGAGTAAGAGTATCTAGCAGGAATCACCTAGAGAAAGAGTTCTGAGTCGAGAGATAATCTAGGAGAGATACCTAGATGAGCATTTAAGGAGTCTACTGAGAAGAGTAGTTAGATACCTCGGGAGGTAGGATTGCCTGAGTCGGGGACGTCTTTTGAGTTGTGAATAGAGCAAGAGGAATTATATGCCAGAGTGGCCTTATGTTTTGGTGGAGGTTATTCGATGCCTGAATGTTACTTGCTTCGTGCTTTGTGGAACTCTTGATGATAGGAGTCAGCTACTAAGTGGATATGACGATATTCAGGAGGTAGATGGTTGGAATCATGAGGAGTTCCTCAGCAGCTGATGGCAGAGGAGTGTGAGAACCTAGGAAGAGCCTAGGGAGTAACTTTAGTCAGATGAGTACGCTGATAAGAGGGGAGTTTTAGCTGGAGAGTGACCAGGTATAACGGGATTGGTGATCAGGAAGGTTGAGCAGCTACTTAGGAAATCTGGGACGATCCGTGTGGAAAGTATGGGTAGATGTGGCAGGTAGTATGGGCCCGTACTACTGAAAGCAGAGGACCCATACTCGAAACAGGGAGAATTCCAGAGGTTCTAAGAAGCAAATTGAGAAGATAGATAGCATGGTTCGAGTACCATGATTCATAGCAGATTGAGAAGAGAGATAACATTGTTCGAGTACCATGATTCGTAGCAGAATGAGAGGAGATAACATGGTTCGGTTACCATGATTCGTAGCGGACTGAGAGTTGATCACATGGTTCGAGTACCATGATTTGTGGAGGATAGTGCTTCTGGTTTTACCAGTTATCCCGTTGTGATTGATTAGACCGAGATCAGATGTGATAGTGTGTGGGGCCCGAGGGCCATGAAGAGCGAGTTTTTAATGAAGCCTACCTTGAGAGGGAAATCGAGTTAGTTCTGGGAGACTTATCTGGTGAGATGCCAGTTGGAGTCGCAAAACTCAGGAATGAGTAGAGGTGATACTTATTGGAGGATCGCGGTCTGAGTTGAGCAATCGACCGATAGATGAGACATCACCTTCTGTGAAAAGAGTTGCGTTGTTCCATTTCTGGGAGGAGCGAAGGAGATAAGAGTTTCCGGTTTCAGAGTTGGAGGTAAACCCCGTGGAGTAGCATAGGGTTGCAACCTTTCACCAGAGTATTTGGGCAGTATGTTTGCTGCGAGGTAGTCCTTAGGCCATGAGAGGACTATTAGTGGAGACTGAGATGAGGACAAAGAGATGCCTTAGTCGATTCAAGTATGTTTTAGCAGCGGTTCCAAGTGATCAAGAGGAGTATATTGGGGTAGTGGCCCTCGTCGTTATGTTGTGTAACGGCCGTGAGAGTGAGCTCTCGTGCTTTGATGAGGATTCTCGTATTGGGTGGCTGGTCGAGGAGTCAGAGACGAGGTGGGTAATAGTGTATCATTTCCGGACCCAGAGTCAGGATTATTTCGGAACAGATAGGGTATCTGGCGGTGTGTCGGTCTGAGGTTTCGAGATGACTAGATACAGTCACGTCGAGAGGATTCTGAGATTTTTGTCTGAGTTACGGGATATTTGAAGTTGCTTGGTTTCCATCGGGAAGATCATTGATGTGACTGCGTGGTACGTTCCAAGAGTTAAGTATGATGTACCCGGAGAGACAGTCTGTGGAATAGACTGTTAGCATGCCAATTGGTGATCGTTCGAACCCTGAGTGGGGGAGAACTGAATACTTTATTGAGAGTATCAGAGATTTGTTCAAGAGCAGTTAGAGGACTGGATATAGTGACCTGCGGTACGGATACATGAGATCAGGGTTATTGGTGGTCGAGGCGAGGTGCAGAGCGAGATAATGCATGTTGTACGTGTTCAATAAGGGATGAGTGTCTCCACGGCAGGTGGTCGTTGGTCAGAAACCTTGTGGTGGTTAGGGATCCTTCAAGGTTGTAATGGTAAATTCGAGGTGGTTGGCTCGTAAGGATAGTTTCGGCAGTTGAGAATTTCTGGTTCAATGTATGGGTTGTGATTGGGCAGCCAACTTCAGGGTTAGTATGTGTGTTCTTGCATGGGTTTTGAGCAATAGAGGAGGGAGTTTCGGATTGTCGCCAATGTGTTCTGAGTCATTGACAATGCCTTCATGTTTCAATTGAAAGTTGGAATAATCCGAAGTTACGAGTTGTGCGAGAGGAAGATCGGTGGTGGAGTCGAGATATTGTGAGATTCTTGATGGATACATTGTGGTATCCGAGTATGATGCCATGGGCGGCGGATCCGTGGTTG